AGTTTAAGTAAAACATTAAAAAATGTAACTTAAATTAAAATTAATTAAAACAAAAATTTTTAAATTAAAAAAAAAAGGAAAGTTCTTTTTTTTTACAATGATATTCACCTTGTAAAAGGAACAAGGGCCAGTCAAAGTAAAGAGTTACAAAAGAGACACAGCTTATGTGGATATGAGTGGAAGATAATGGTTAACCCAGACATGAACACTTGGGAGTTGGTTCCACAATGCAATAGTTAATTAAACTGTAGTGATAACAACAAATAAATCACTAAATAATCTCTAACCCTTAGTATTAGACTATGTTAGAGTATGAAACCAAAATAATAAATAATTAATAACAAGAAAAATTAAAAGTTAACTAATAAAAAAACTTTAAAATATAGATAAGAATGATAATTAACAATGAAAAAAGAAAAAAAGTCATTATAAAGAAATAGTTAAATAAATATGAAAACTCCCATCATGCACCGGAACAAATGTTTTTGCCACAAGTTGAAAAAAAATCAAATTTTCTTTCTCTTCATCTTCAATGGGCAAGTAGATGTCTGGTGACAGTACTCTGATAGCACATGTTGCTACCAAACAGATAGGCATAAACCTTTTATCTCTGTATACATGTAGGGATTTGAAATATACAGACATTTCTCTGAATTTCTTTTTTTTAACCATTTCACCCCAAGCAAGGTGGAAATACGATGAGTTACAGGAAGTGAAAGTGAAAAGAATAAGTATAGTGAGGATTGAGGAAAGTACAAAAGATGAACGGGATTCAAGAAGATAGAAGATGACAATTGAACTTGCATTTAAATTAAGATCCTAGTTATCAGGGAAGTAGTATACATATATATATATATATATATATATATATATACATACATACATATCAAGGAAGTAGTGTATATATATATATGTGTGAAAATTTCTCCGATTTAACCAGGAGAGAAGACAATATTTATGAATAAAAATGACAATAGGAAAACTGGTAATTGCTGTGGACTTTATCAAAGTAAAATACGAAAAAAAAAAAAAAAATAAAGTCCACATTGGGCAAAACGCATCAGCAATTACCAGTTTTCCTATTGTCATTTTTATTCATAAATATATATGTGTGTGTGTGTCTGTGTTAGAGTTATGACTTTTTGTAAAATAATCGATTTTCTGAATCATAACTTGATGAACTTTTATTAAAAAATAAAATGAAGAAATGAAGAAAAAATTTTAAAAAACAAAAATGTCACACCTAACACAAAAATTTCTAAAATCATATATAAGTATAGTAGTACTATGATTTCTGGGACTTTTTAGAATTATCTGGAACATCCAAGAACTTAATTTTGTTTATTTATAAGTTTGCATATAGCTATAAACTGTTAAATGTGTTAAAAACAGATAATTGAATTAGATCATTAGCAAAGTGAAAAAAAACTTCTGAACTATTTTGATTTTTTACTGTCATTGTGTGTATAGTAAAATCAAATTTTCAGATTGGAGTGACCATTTTCAAAAATTGAAACAAATTAAAGACTTTTTCATTACTTTTGAAGAAAATTCATTGATTTATGTCACAGGAATATAAAGTTACAAAAATGGTATAACCCTAATATATATATATCAATATATAACTTCCGTTAAGTTAACCATTTAAATGTGTCAATGTTTGGACCTCAAGTAATTTGAAGTATAAAAGAAAAGAAATTTTAAATTACATCTAACTCACTCATGTCTTCTCTCTCCCCACTCACTTCCTCACTTCGTTAATTTACATATGCTTAATACGGCCTGTCAAATATGTGTAAATTTCTTTTCATTTTTTGTTTCAATGTTTGGAAGTAAAGTCTAATGATCCGCAGTCCTTTAAAAGAGCTGTGGTGAAATAATTTATTACATGGAACCTTAAAGTTGTCTGTTTTTATTTAAATTATTTGCTCTGGATTTACATTGAGCTCTCTGGATTTTATCCTCCTTGAGTATACCCATATGGATTACCTAGTTTTTCATAAACTATATATATATATATATATATAGAGAGAGAGAGAGACATAGACATATATATATGAAAGAAAAATACAGAAAAAACAAAAATCTGAATATGCAATTATGTAGTATTAATGTTAAAATAAAGTCGACGTCGGACGTTTCGGTCTATTTAAGACCATCTTCATGGACATTTTCATTTAAACATAATTAACATTAGAACTTATAAAAATTTAACACAAAAACGATGGACATAAGAGCCCAACTGATCCAAACAGATAACTGAAATTTTATACAGATCAGCGTTCTGTTTAAATATGATCACGTAATCGTCACGTAGGCGATGTTATTAAAAACGTTCGAAGATGATTTCCAAAAATTAAATATTAAAATAGACCAAACGTCCGACGTAGACTTTATTTTAACATTAATACTACATAATTGCATATTCAGATTTTTGTTTTTTCTGTATTTTTCTTTCATACTGTTGGATTTATATCCATATATTTGCTTACACATATATATATATATATATATATATAATAATGTTTCTTGATGGTATCTACTCATCAGTGATAAACAGTAAAATCAAATGCATTTATAGAAATTATATTTGTAATTATTATTATTTATATATATATATATGTTTAAGTGAATTTTTTTTCGGTCATTTCCCCACCAGTAAGGTGGAAAGTGAAAGTGAGAGAAAAGACTGAGTATAGGGAGGATGGCAGAAAGGACAAATGATGAACAGAATTCAAGAAGATAGAAGATGGCGATTGATGTTGCATTTAAATTTTTGAAGATTGCAGTTATTAGGGAAACAGGTGTAGAAGTGAATAAATTAAAATAAAATAATAATAATAATAATAATAATAATGAAAATTTTAAATAAAATAAAATAAAACAATAGCATTTAAACTTTGTTTAAAGTAAATGAAATAAAATTAAAGATAATAAAAATGCTCCCAGCATGCAACAAAAACTGTTCCTGTCAGAAATACGGACATCCCGCCAAAAGACGTTAAATTAAATCTCTTCACTACAAACCTTGGTACTGGCAAAATGTATCCAACTTCTCTGTGTGATATGGCTTGTAATACTATGGAGTAAATTTCTCACTTTTATTACATGTACCATAAAAGAATTGTAACCTAAAAAGTACACATAACAATACACACAAAAATATAAATAAATTATAAAAGTAACAATCAATTTATGAAGCTTTTCTTGTTATTTCTGCACGCACTATTTTCTGTCAAGTATGCTTTTATCTCTGTGAGAACAAGGCTAATTTCTGTTGCTCTGATGTGAGGGAATCCCCCACAGTTGCATTTAACTATTTCAATAATAAACAGGTGGGACCTAGATGCCAATCTAGTAGCATGTTTAAATTCATGTAGTCGGGGTACCAGGGAAAAAAATGTGTCATAAGGCATTTCATTGTTTTTGTTTATGCTTATTGTGTTGTCCCTTGTATATGATTTGTTTGTAATTAATATCTTTCTGTTGTGGGGCTGATGATGTCTTTTTCACACCCAAATAAAATTACATAAATATATATATATATGAAGAAAAATCTTAATATGCAATTATGCTGTCTTAATGTTAATATAAAGTCAACGTCGGACGTTTCGGTTTATTTTAGACCATCTTCAGGACATTTTCATTTAAACATAATTAACATTAAAACATAAAAATCCAACACGAAAAGATGAGGGACATAAGAGCACAACTAATCCAAACAGATAACTGAAATTTTTATATAAGATCAGCGTTCCATTTAAATATGATCACGTCGTCGTCACGTGGGCGATGTTGTGAAAACGTATTTGAAGATGATTTCCAAATATTAAAATATTAAAAAGTCAATTGAACTATTTTATATAAACAGTTCAAGAAATCCCTTCCGTTGATATAGGAATATGCCGAGATCAATAGGTTCTTATATCTTCATACTAGCTTGAAGTCCTCCAAGTTACATAGCAAATCAAAAATGATTTCAAAATATCAGAACGATGGAACAATTTTAAAAACAGTTCGATAATAAATCCTTTCCTTACTTGATCAATAGATTCATATATTTTCGTACAAGCTTGAAGTCTTCCATGTTATAAAGTTAATTCAGGTTTGTATTTCCAGTAGACAGTATATATTGCATATTAAGATTTTTGTTTGTTTTTTCTGTATATTCTTCTTCATACTGTCGGATCTATATCCATATATTTGCTTATATATATATATATATATATATATATATATATATATATAAAGAAGTACATTCAGACAAGGGCAACATATTATCAGTACAATCCATACTGCTTTCCTCTCTCTCTTTTGCCTTCCTTATGTCCTGTGAGTGTTAAATTCTCCAAGCCTTCTTTTCTCATTATGCGTCCTAGAAATATCATCTCTCTCTTTCTGATTTAAAGTATGTGTCAATTTTGCCTTTATTTCTCTTAGAACGTCCTCATTAGTCATATGTTCAGTCTATGGTACTATCAGTATCTTTATATAGAATGATTTTTCTGTGCCTCAAGTATCTTTTTCATCTGTAAAGAGATTGTGCAACATTCACAGCAATCGAGGCGGACTGATATTACATAGCTGTTCAGCAATTTTTTCTTTGTTTCTAATGAAATTTTCCTTTCCCTTAATACTTTGTTTAGCTTTTTGGAAGGCATCTTTAATAATTTCAATATGACTTCAGATTTTGGTGTGATATGTTTCTTCTTGTTACAACCTCCCCCACCAATATTTACATTTATATATTTGCTTGATTTTGACAACTGCACTCACCCTCCCCCAGCCTGTTAAAAAATAAACTAAAGTCAAAGAAATAGGACAGAGTGGGTTGAAAACAGTAAAGTTAAAAATAATATAAAAAGGAAAGAATGTAAAAGAAAAATTAGGGAGAGAAAGAAAAAAAGGCTTTGAAGTTCATTCAATCATTTGGCTATTAAGAATAAGCTAATGGATTACAAATGACTTTGAAGTTAAAAAAAGGCTAATTGTTTCATTTCTCATTTGAAATGAAAGAAGATGAAGAAAATAAGGAATAAAGAAAAAGCAAAACTCATTTGAAAAACAAAGGAAGAAAATAAATAAGAAAAAGGAAATGAATGAAAAGAAGAAACAAGAAATAGTAATACAAGGTATAGAAAAATGAATAATGAAAAGAAAAAAAAAAAAAGAGAAAAAAGAAAATAAATAAATTTGTTATGGTGAATTTGTTTAAAGCTTAAAAGAAAATCAAGTCAACACATCAGATAATCAAAATGAATGCCAATTTGATCTTGATGTTAAGAGTTTTACTTGACTTCAAATAAAATTCATTGAGATAAGAAAAACTGACCATTTTTTTTAGAATTTCTTCTCACATATTGTATTTAGCATTTGAATTGCACTCCTCCAAGACACCAATATTCTTATTCTAGCAGAATGTTCCCAAAATACTCCATGAGAAATAATTCCATTCATTGTTTTACAAACATTTGATTATTTTATACATGAAAATAACTAATCACCCTATTGATAGTATAGTATATATATATATATATATATATATATATATATATATATATATATATATATCAAGACGAGGCTATATTTGTTCCAATGAGAGAAAAAAATGTATATATTAAAAGAAGAGAGAAACCACAAACAATTTTTGTTATAATGTAGATTTTAAAAAAAAATATATATTATGCTTTCTTTTCCATAATTTTGCAATGCGTGTTTCAGGTTTTGTGACCTTCTTCAGGCAAAGAGTGGATATTTCCACATATTATTAAAATGAATTAATTTTCCTGATGTTTTTCGATGTTAAACATTCTCAATGTTAAACATGCTATTTTTTTGTGTGATAGTGACACAAATGTCTTTCTTGAACTGGCAGTGAGAAAGTTCTTCTGCTTGAAGGGTAATAAAACAATTAAGATTGAAAGGGTGAGGAAAGATATCTGTATTCTTATTTTTAATGATTCCTGTGTGTTTTTAGATCTATTTCCATTGTTTTGTATTGTGTGTGTTTTTGTCAGCAAGCATATGTATACATATATTCCCTCTCGATACATACCTACTGTCTTATTATAAGGAATTAGTATACACATATGTACACACATATATATACATATATACACATACTTCCTATGTTGTGTAGGGTTCGTGTGCATGCCCGTGAACAGCCCTGCCCTTACCAACATGTGTTTATAAATATTAGTATGCGTATGTATGCGCATATTCCCTCTCCATACATACATACTGTCTTATTATAAGCAATTAGTATAAACACATACATACATACATGTATACATACATACACATACACGCATTTCTATGTTGCGTAGGGTTTCTGTGTGTGCTTGTGAGTAGTTTATTGCTTTTGCCAATATGTCTGAAACATATTCGTGTTCCACAGATATCCACATGTGAGTGTGTGTGCATGCATGCAAGTGATTCAACTACTGTATTTGGCCCTTATATGCGCATGTTGTGTGTTTTTGTGTGTGGGGTTATGATCTATTTAGTGCTGGTTTAAATTTGTTTATGAAGTTTATTCTTGTATTTGTAGATAAGAATAATTGTCTAAAAAGTTCTTCTTGAGTTCATATGAAGTGGGATGAAAATAAAGTATGTATAATCCCCCAATGATATATTTCCAATACACTTACAGTTATCCTTCTCCTCCTCACCTTCTGCCACACCTTACAGCGTCTGCTTATTCATTTATTTATTTTTAAAAAATATAGTGTTCATAAATTTTTTAATTTAAAAAAAATTTTTTTTTTTTTTAAATAATGTGTTAGGAAATCAATTGATAGAAATTGCCTGAAGATACCAAAAGGTTGAAACCAAGGTAGCGAAATTGGCTGACCTTCTAATTTTCTATACTTAAAAGCTGTACATGTTAAATTTTTATATTTTTATATGTTTATTGAGCACTTTTTAATACTGTTGTTTGCTGGTCTAATTCAAATTTGACCATTTACTTTTATTATTATTATTATTACAATATATATATATATATATATATATATATATATAAAAAAGTGGACATTGAAGTCAACATCCAGAAATGACAGTGCCAAATTTTTACTACGTTACTTAAAAATCAAAAACTGGAAAAACAAGAATAAACCAAATTAAATAAATAAAATAAACAAAAACAAGTAAAATAAATTAATCCAAACAAATAAATAAACTAAGTAAATAATAAAGAAATTAACAAACAATGTGTGTACAGATAAGCATGAGAGAATGTAAACCAACAGTAAAATAATCAATAATAAATAAAAAGTTATCTAACAATACTATACACAGCCCCAAAACTGCATTTGTATCCATAATCATTCCCAGTCAATAGCCCCTAGTATAATTTGAAACACTTTTCTTTTTTTTTTTTTTTATTAAAATACACCTTTAAGTGCTGAATCTAGATGTGTCGTCAGTGTTGTTGCTCCCATGTCACTAGAAGTTTCAGGTCTAAATAAACAACAGACTTCTTCGATGGGCGACCCGACCAAATATGATCAGTATTCGGCCCGCACCGAGAACAAAAATTTGCCACTAGCTTTAGGATGTGAATTATATAAGTTGCCCAAGTAGACAACAACCAATCAAGACTTCACTTGGGCTATTTGAAATTATAAATTAGGTATGCATGGTTGTATTGATCTTCCTACATGCGGCCAAGATAGGGTGTTTTTGGAAGAATAAAAACAAACCAATAAATATACACATAAATATACATATATATATATATGTACATATATATACATATATATATATATATATATATATATATATATATATATATATATATATATATATATATATATATATATATATATATATATATATATATATATATATATATATATATACATATACAAAAACACATGTATACACAAAAAAAACAAAAAAACAAACGATTTATTATATTGGCTCGTCTTGCGACTTGTTCTTTCTCTACCTCCCCTTTTAAATAACTTATTTGTTTGGTCTTTCTTTTCTTTTCACTTTTTTTATTCTTATTTTCTTTTCTTTTCTAAACTACACTTAACACAATCATTACCCCCAATCAAAATAACCATAAGAATAATGCAACAGACTACCCACAATGCAATGCAAAACATTAACCATTACTGATCTGTATATATAAATAGTCAAGCAGAAATGTGGTCATGATTTTGTTTATCATGAAACAGATTGTCACTTCTGGATGTTGACTTCAAAGTCCACTTTTATATTTACATATGCCATGTTGCTGCGTGTAAAGACGTTCTCCCTCCCCACCATATTAATTCAATTGTTTACAATCGTTTTGTAGTTGCGGAGCCAACTACATAGGGGAGAACAACTCAGCGCTTAGACACTAGAATAAAGCAACACGTTCCTACTAAAATTAGAAACCACACCTTGCCTTGAGTGGACTCGTCCCTAACACCTACAGTTCCGCCATATCTAACATCTTTTAAATAGCAGAGACTGTGCCGCCAAATTTAGTGTCGACTGGTTCACCGTGTTGGCCCGTCACACTCTGTATTTCATCTGAAGGTTCTGGAGGCACTTTACATCGGGTCCATAAGCCTTCTTTATGCAAACAACGTGAGTGTTTGCTGGGACTCACTGTCATCTGCCTCTTGTTCCTTCTTGCATATATACGAACATATATATATATATATGTGTGTAATTTTTTTTTTTTTTTTTCCACCTATTCTTATTGTACATTTCTCTGTTTTAATTTTCAATCTCCGTGGAAGCCTGACGAGCGGGAGCGAAACCGGTTGCTCCCCCCCCTTATTGTTGAGTTTTTTTTTTTTTATTATTTAATACTGTTTTAATATGTCTTGTAATATTAAATTTTATACTTTTATTTCGATCATATATATATATATATATATATATATATAAAAAAGTTGCAAATTAAAAATAATAATGTTTTATTTTATGAAAGTATTTATTTATTTATTTATATATATATTTGATATTTCAGATTGTCCTCAATCTTTCATCAGTAATAACTGTTTGTTACAATAATAATTAATAATAGTATACGTGGCTTCTCATTATACTATATATATATATATATATATATATATATATATATATATATATATATATATATATATATATATATATATATATATATATATATATATATATATATATATATATATATATATATATATATAATAAAAAGAAATATAGTCTTAAGGTGTGCTATATTTATGGAATAAAGTGCTCAATATCAGAGATAGAGCGTGTGTAAAGATAGCCGAGAAAAATAACAGCATATGTGGCCTGACGATTGCATATAGCATGAAACAGACTGCCACCTCTAAGTGTTGACTTCTGTGTTCACTTTTATATATAAATATATATATATATATGAATAGAAGAAAAAAGACATGAGGAAAACTATTTAATTTTAGCTGATGTGTTTATCAAGGCAAAAGAAAAATGAATTTATTTAAAAACAATGTATCCAATCAAAAGGAAATGTTTTTGTTACCAGAAAATTATAAACATCTGTAAATATTCATAAGTTCAACTGAAGAATATTAAAATATGTCATCTTGCATACTCAAAGAGACTTTTGCGTATGAACTATAAATCTATGGCGTCATTTTTCAGCAATCTGGTAGCAAATCCTTGATGTGTTTTTAAGGGCATTGAAGAATGATTCCTTCTTCAATACAGTATTTGAGGAAGTTCTTTCTCCTGTAGGCATGAGTGGATGTTAGCAGTTGTATATATTTATATATGATTAAGCATATATATGTCTTTTTTCTTTTATTCCTAATGTCCTCTTTACAGATTATGTCTGAGAATATATATATATATATATATATATATATATATATGTATATGAAGAAATATAGTCTTAAGATGTGCTATATTTATGGGATAAATTTCTCAATATCAGAGATAGAGCGTGTGTAAATATAAAAGTGAACATAGAAGACAACACTTAGAGGCGACAGTCTGTTTCATGCTAGATGCAATCATCAGGTAATAATCCATTGGTCTATAATCCAAGTAAATCCTAATAATATTACTAAAACTGATCCACAAAAAGAGCTCAATGCATTTACTATAACAGAGCATATAAATTACATAGAAGAGAAATACAAATTTGCCTCATTCAAATAGGTATTTCAACCAACAAGAAGACCTATGTTGGCATTGTCAACTCAGAAACAAACAATGCCAACACAGGTCTTCTTGTTGATTGA